CCCCGCCCGCACTGCCTGAATTGCTTGTCACTTCTCCCGTGGTTTCCTGCTACACTTCTCCGGCTGGCCATTGCTTTGGAGAGCGAGCCTTTTATTACTATACCTAGGACCTTAGGAACACAAGGGACGTGTCTAGAGAGAGAGTCATTCTACACCTGATCTTAGCCGGAAACCCTAGAAGCGATTAGAAAGACATTTTAAAAAAATATTAAAAAAAAGACATTTAAAAAAATATTTTTTAAATAAATATCAGCACAGGCATGAAACTGTTAAAAGGTGTTAAAAACGTCATACCTCTTTCCGTTTCAGTAATTTGTTCAAAGCTTGTTTAAATTTTTTTTTTTTTTGAGGTGGTCTCCCTCTGTAGCCCCTGCTGCCTTGGGACTCACTGTGATCCTCCTGTATCAGCCTCCTCAGTGCAAGTGCTGGGGGGATTGGTGAGAACTGTCACCTCAGCGTTCATGTCTAACAGCTTGAAGATTGGGGGTTTGGCCCTAGTTTTCACATTTACTTGGGAGATGGACGACTGGAAGTTGCCTAGGAAGTTACTGAAGTCTATGTCGATGCAAGCCTTAACTCCCAACGTGTGGAGCTGTGTATTATCTACCTCTGTGCCCAGCCAAGATAAACTTCACTACATACCAATTTATGAGATGGGAAAGTTGCCAGCAATTCTGATGGTTTATCTGAGTGTAGTGAGAAAACTCACACCGGGAGCTATTTGAGCTCTTTAGTGCTCTCTATTACCAACCTTAGAAAGTATGAGTATTGCATGGAGTGTATAGTGACTTACCAAATGCTGGTACCTTTTCTAAAAGCACAAATCTAAAGGATAGCAGTAGTTTGAAACATGCTGCAGCCCCAGACACATTGCTCTTTGTAATGGAATAAACTACAACCATGGAATTGGGTTTTCTACTCCTGCAAGTCCTTTATTGCCAATAATAAAACAAGGCATTTCCCTCGTCAAAAGTAAATCTGTGTTTACTATTTAACATTCAGCTAAAAAGAACCCAAAAACTTGTGGGCACAGGAGAACTTTATAAGCCACAGGTGAAAATATATTTTGGTTTCTACACTGTATGAATGCACATTAAAAAACAATTTTCGCGGGGCGTTGGTGGCTCATGCCTTTAATCCCAGCAACCCGCGAGGCAGAGGCAGGCGGATCTGAGTTCCAGGCTAGACTGGTCTCCAGAGTGAGTGCCAGGATAGGCTCCAAGGCTACACAGAGAAATCCTGTCTCGAAAAAAAACAAAACAAACAAAAAAAACAAAACCCAATTTTCAAACATTTTTTTTTCTTTTTTTTTTTTTTTTTTTCCGGGACAGGGTTTCTCTGTGTAAATTTGGAGCCTATCCTGGCACATCACTCTGTAGACCAGGCTGACCTCGAACTCACAGAGATATGCCTGCCTCTGCCTCCTAAGTGCACCACCAACATCCAGCAAACAAATATTTTTTAAACTCCCATTCTGACCCTGCATTGTTTTAGGTATCCAGTTTTGGGTTGTTTGTTTGTTTGCCTTTTCTTGGGACTCCCTCAGTAGACCAGGCTGACCTCAAACTCAGAGATCTTCCTGTCTCTGACTTCTGGTGTTTCCCCCTTTTTAATGTGGTGGAAAGAAAACAAAACAAAACTTTTAACTAATTCCTTTAAGAATTCCCAGTCATGAGCTGGAGAGATGGCTCAGTGGTTAAGACCACTGGCTGCTTTTGGAGAGGTCCTGAGTTCAATTCCCAGCGACCACATGGTGGCTCACAAACATCCATAATTAGGTCTGGTGCCCTCTTCTGGCCTGCAGGCATACATGCAGGCAGAACTCTGTATACATAATAAATAAACCAACCATAGAGAAAAAAATAGAATTCCCAATTTTTTTCACCAAATCTGCCAATGATGTCCATAAAGATAGGCTGACTGCTGCTGTGTAGAACAATAAAAGTCTGACCAGATTTTAAGGCAGCTACTAAGTTTGGCAGCAGCCTGAGAAGGGGGTTCAGGGAAAGCCCACTAGGAGAGAAGAAAGGAAAACAAACTGGCCAGGTTGGTGACTCCAACTGTGCATAGATCTGACCTATACTGGTGGCTGCAAAACCACAGGCAAAAGGCTTTTTCATGAATTTATACCCCAAAAGTTGGGCACCAGATATAGCACAAATTCTAATTGGTTTGAATAATAAAAACTCAGAGACTGATATTGGGGTTAAAGCCGAAGATCAGAGAAGCAGAGTAGCCAGCCATTAGATAGTTCTCACCTCTACCAATGATAAGACGGAAAGGATGATCCTGTTCTCAGATTGCATCTCCAGACTTCATCTGTCTCCACCAAACCTCAGATTGGCCCTGAGCTCCTGTCTCCACTTCCCTAGTGCTGGAACTAAAAGGCAGGGGATCCCAAGTGCTGAGATCACCTTTGTGTGAGCTCCGTTTTTTTTCTTTTAGCTCACGGTGGCCTTGAACTAACTGAATCATCTGCCTCTGTCTCCTGAGTACTGGGATTAAAGGCATGCACCACCACTGCCTTGCCTCTATGGCTAACTAGTGTGGCTGTTGGGATTAAAGGTGTGTGCCACCACTGCCTGGACTTTATCATTAACTAGTGTAGCTAGCTTTGCACTCTGATATTCAGGCAAGCTTTATTAATCATAAAATATCACCACAAATACTACTTTTTGCATTGAAATCCCATGCAAACAGCCTAAGTAATGTCCTTTGCCATCTTGACCTTAGTTTTTTTTAAGGGGGAGTTGCAGATGGGGTTTAAGAAAGGTTTTTTTCTGTGTAGCCCTGCCTATCCCAGCTGTCCTGGAACTCACTGTGTAGACCAGACTGGTCTCAAACTCAGAGATCCCCCTGCCTCCTGTACCCCTAATTCTGGGATTAAAGAAATGCATCACCATATCTAGCATGCTTCGTGCTGTTAAGGATTTGGAATATTTGTAAATATTTCTAATTCACTGTTGTCAATAAGATTTTTGTATGCTCTCCTCATCATCCTGTCTCAGCCTCCCATAGTGTTGGCTTTACAGTTGGATGCATTGTTCTAGCTTGTATTTTTTCAGCTGCCTTTGTAACTAATAGAGAAGTCTGGAATTGCCTCCTGTGTTTGCAGAAGATTTTTCTCTAACTGAAAGCATTCTGTTTAGTGTTTTAAAATTTTTTCCTAGTTTGTTGTGGCCTGGGACTATTACAAGACAGGGTAAAAGGTCTTAGATTTCTAAAAGGTTAGAGATTAAAGTAGAAATTAATTATTTCCCGTCTTTGTTAATTGCTCATTAGCACAGAGGCCTAAACACTAAAATAGCCATTTTCCTCTACTAAGGAATTTTTGTTACAGAATATCAGGGTCCTAGATTAAAGTTGTATGCATGTATCTGTGTGTGTGTGTGGATGCCAGAGGTCACAGACGGGAAGCTTCCTCTATTGCTTTCTGTCTTTTATTTTGAGACAGGGTCTATCTCACTGAACCTGGACCTCACCATTTTAGCTACATTGGCTGGCTGTTGAGCTTTGGGGATCTCCCTGTCTGTACTCCAGTACTGGGGTTACAGATGGGTAACAAATATGCAGCTTTTACATGTGTGTTGGAGATCTGAACTCAGATCTTCATGTTTTCATGATACTTTACCCACTGAACCATTCCCCTGCCCCCATTAGTAGTTCTTTGTTTTTGTTTTTCTTTTTAAAGGCACAGGAGTGTTATGATCAGGTAAATTTGGGTGACTGCATGAGATTTATTTGTGATTTTTTGTTTGCTTGCTTGTTTATTCACTTGTTAAGAAAAGATCTCATTAGCTTACAATGGTCTAAAATTCAGAATTT